CTCAGATTTTCTCCATTTCGTATTACTGCAAATTGATTCTTTGGAGTTCGGACTGTTGCTCTGACAAATCAAGCAAATCAAAGATGTCACCTTGGGGTTGCAGGGAATAATCAGCATTTTTACACTCATGAGAACAATCAATAATGAGAGTGATCACAGTTGCACCTCCAGATACTTCCAAGGTTTAGATTTATAGTTCTGCATAATTTGGAAAACTGCACATGCCAAATGCAAATGGAGCAACCAGGGTTACAAACCAGCGTCAGCATGCATTACCAAAACAGCTTGTTACTGTAAATGGTTTCAGTATGGCTGCAGCCTGTTCACGAGGGGGAAATAAGCCCTGAACAGTAATGACTGAACTGAGCAGAATGATTTATCAGCAGTCCGAGGCTTGATGCTGGACGTCCGCTCCATCTGCGTGGTCCCCGCTTCCTTAAACGCTCCCAAATGAGCTGACAAGCCGCTCAGCCCACCCCACCTACACATCTGCACGACAACAAGAGGAGGGAGAGATCAAGATTTCTTCCACCTGTGTTTTATGTGCAGTTTGATTTTGTGCTTCAAAACTTAATGACGGAAACACCAGAAATAAAAAAACGCCTGAGATGAGAAATGGCGTGTTAGTGAAAGGAAAAACACAAAGCGATAAAAAGGTAAAAAAAAAAAGGTAAATGCAACTTAATGCAATTGAAATATAACAGCTGATAAATTATGACATACAGTCATTGCATAGTCCACTGTGAGCTCTCTGCGTTGTCTTTTAACACACATATGCATGCATGCAGAGCTGTTACCAGACACTGAATCCTCATACAACAGATATGACGTACGAAATGTAGTGTTTCGTAGGTAAGGTTGAAGTAAGTAAAGTTACTGTGGTAGATTTAGGAAAGGAAACATGACTCAGAGTCTTAAAAGGACTAAGATTTCACATGGTACCGAACACCAGTCTCCTTGGCAAAGTCCCTGATACCCAAACCTGCCTCCTTACTGGGGCCGCTACCGTCTTTACTTCCATCATCACATTGGTCATGTGATCACAGCCTTCTCAAATACATGGTTTATACACAAATTAATAGTTTGTACATATGTAGGATATGTACGAATTTTGGTGCATTACTTTTCGTAGAAAAATGTATAAACATCCATTGTTTTCCTTCATTTGAGGTTTGATTGAGGGTCTTTTAATTGCATCATATTGTTGCGCCCTTGTTGGCACTTGACAGGAAATTAGCGCCACCTAGTGCTTATCTTGATGAACCACCTCCCAATGTTTGCATAGCCGTAGGTGATTAAAAATTTGGCTACAATTTGTGGTACATTTGGATAGAAACCTAACTAATACGTTTTTGTTGGTGGGTAAATGAAAGAAATCCCAGTGGAAATTGGGGCAGGTTTAGTGGTGCGCTTTACTGTCTATTTCAGTGTCATTCTTCATACTACCACCGGGTGGCGCCAAAGTAAGACATTTTCAAATTTGTAACATACAGTACAATAATGTTGTTATTCAACCTGTGTCTGCATCTTGTTTTTGTATAATTCCTGACAATGTAGATGCCAATAAATGCTGTCAATCGTGAGGAGTCAGAGTGAAGTAAGAGAAGACTCAGCAGTGCTCCCTCTGGTTACATGATGTTACTGCAGCCTCTTTACTGATCAGAAAGCAGCTGAAGTTTCTTTAGCCTCAGTTTTGGCAACTTACTAAATACTGGAGCAACATTTGGAAGGAAAAAGACTTAGTGAGAGACAGAGATTAAAAAAAGAAGGGTAAATAAAAGCGAGACAATAGTTAAGTATCCTTAAGAATTACACTGACATGCACAGATTTGGCAGCACACAATTAATGTCCAATGGCAATGCCAGAAGAGATGTTCCCTTTAGCAAATCAGTAGGTGTAAAGTAGGGGCTTAGAGGTCACACAGATGGATGGACGTGTCTGACTTTCAAAAGTACTATCTTTGGATAACCTTACCCAAGTGTTTAGGTGCCTCACCCTTACCATATCTTAAGTCCATTATCTTTCCCTTACTTTAACCATACCATAGCTGCCATGCACAGATACTGTAGATAGAAAATTTAAAAATGTTGGCACTGAAGGTTAAAAATCACTGTCACTAAATGTAATCCAGGGATTTACAGAATTGTCCAGTACTGATGATTTGAGTGAGAGTAAGTGTGGTGCTTTGTCCCACATAAAGAGAAATCCAGAAAAAATATCAGGCGAATAGCAGAAAACCAAGATGGAAAACAGATCGAAGAACAAGAGAGCAGAAGGGTGAGGCTGGAAACGGGCCTCTCTGCAGTTGTAAAAATGTCACATCTGCACTTGTCAAACACAGTGGATGTGGGGAACAGCAGAAAATAGCAGAAATGGTCAAGATGACAAAAGCAGGGAGACTTATTTTTTGTCCCTGAAAGCCAAGAAAAACTTCACCAAAATTTAAAACAGCAACGTTGAAGCAGAAAGCAGGACTGTAGTTACAAGTCTCAGAAAATAAGAACAGCCAGTCGTGTCGCTGATTTTATTTCCCTATAAAAACAATCTACCCAACCAGTGGTACAGTGACCGAAATCTGACCTGAAGGGAGGGTGTGTGTGTATGTGTGTGTGAGTTTGTGTGTAACATCAGAGCACCACAGGGCACACTTAAACCCCACTAAGAGGAGGGGCTTTGAGCTGGTGTGGCTGATAACAACTGAAATCTCATCTCTACGCACACACACACACACACACATACACTCACACACACAAAAACACACATGCACACAAGCACACACAAACCAACCCACTACTCCATCCGCTTCACCTTGTACCTCTTAACTTCCTTCATGGGGTTATTAACTCCCTGATTGGGGAGCTTTCCTTCGGCTTCGCCCCTATTTAGTTGTCATGGTGGCATGACCCGAACACTTATTAGCTGACCCTTGGGATTAGTCCAAGCTGGAAACGGGGGGAAGAGGGGTTAAGCCTTCACCTCGAGGTGCTCGCTGCAGCATCTCACAAAAAACTTAATTAAATTGCTGAGACACCAAGTCAGGAATGTTTGCTTTGCTCTCCCTCTCTCCTGTATGTCCTTCGGTCCATCCCGCTGTCTCCACCTTTCTTTGCTTTTCCCATACTCATACTCCATGCTGGCTTTATTTCCCCGCCTGCTGCTCACCTACCAATATTGATTTGGAGAGCCCTTATTGTACCCAAACTCAGCAAAGGCAGAAAGTTGCGATGTAAGGTAAAAAAAAACCCAGCTCATGGTCTGCATTTATTAGATTCTCAGAGCGCTTCCTCACACATTACTCATGTATTACCAATGTATACCATAATGTATATGTTTATACGCAGTCTAGACATGAATAAAGATCACTAAGATTTTTTTGTATCCTCTTTTCTGCATGTAATGTTGCAAAGACATTATGTGCACATGCAAATACCACAGCTGGAGCTGCAACTTATTTTCCTAACACATTATGATTCATCTCTTAATTATAGTTAGTTTATTTTATATGATATGGATGTCATAGTAGCAGGAGAATTGTATGTTTTACACAAGAACAAGGTGCACTGTGTTGAGTGATTGTAGCAAAACAGCAGCTTACAACACTTGTCTGCAGCAGGTGTTTCAGTTTAAGTCTCGGGTTGTTTTAGAAATCTCTGAAAACTGTCCATCACAACTTCCCAGATCTCAAAGTGACATCTTTATTCTCCTTGTTTTGTCGACCAACAGTCCAAAGCCCCAAATTATTAAACCTACAGTGATATAAAACAAAGGAAAGCAACAATTCCTCACATTTGTTATGCTGAAAGCTGCCAGTACTTGGCATTTTATTACCGATTAAAACCTTAAGTAGTCCATTATTGATCAAAATGCAATCATTCAACTGACTAAAGATTTCATTGTCTAATAATTTACAGTAAGCTGCAAAGCAGATTCTTAATGGAAATATTTACATCATCAACAGCACAGAGGGATGCAACTAACTATTATTTCCACTGTCAATTTATTTGATGATTTTTATTTTAAAATGATTAATGCAGAAAGTAAGAACATTATTTTTTAAACTAAGATATTCAATTTACAAGAATAAAAAACGGAAAAGCAGCAAATATAAGATTTATAAAGCTGGAAACAGTTTGACATTCCTGCTTGAAAATCTGCTTCTGCAATTAATCATTAAGTACTTGTTTGAGCTTTGTAGAACAGAATAAAATAGACTTGAACCTCACCCACAATAAATAATATCTAGTGCATGAATAAAAACACCTGCTCATAAAGGTTATATGTGCAAACCTTAATGCACACAGACCTGCACTCGCAGAGGAAACGCTGCACGCAAACACCACAAAGTAACCGCTTTAAACCCACAGACAGCCTCTATGTCCCAGTGGGGATGTCTTGATTTGTCTCTGGGGATCAGCAGCCCATCATAAAGATTAAAGTCTCTCATGTGAGGTGAAAACACACGGCCAGATGTGAGAGACACCATGGAGCGTCAGATAACGACCTCTAATCCGATACATTCGACACAAACACGGTCTGAAGTCACGACAACGATCAGAGCTAATCCTGTTTCCGCATCTCTCTGCGGGTAACACTCTTCTCTGTGTCTCTCCTGTCCGTGCCTCCCTCTGAGCGCGTCTGGCCGGCAGATCCTGACCCGAGATAGTGACCCGTGCGCCCCGGTGAGGAATGCGAGGATACGCTGACAGAGTGAAGCACTCATGTGAAGCAGGCGGAGTGAAGAAGCTGAGGTTGGATCAATTATCAGAGCCTCTACAGAATAACTGATTAACTCTGTGGTTTTAATCGATAACACAGCATCTTAAAAGACTTCACACATGAGGAGGGTTTCTCTTATATAAAAGCGCATAATTCCATCTGAGAAGTAAAGTAATTATTGTTTTACTCAGTCAGTCGCATTGTGTACAAAAATGCACCCACAGCGAGTTAAAAAATAAATCACAGTTAAAGTTAGTTGGAGAAAAGCGCAGGGGAGCCTTACCTTGTTAAAGTAATCCAAAGTCCGCGGGAATGCGCTGGAGCAGCTTCTACCCAAACTTTTTATCCACTTTGCCGGCGTGTCTCTCCGTGCCAAACCCCGAAACTGCTCATAAACCTCTACTTGCAACGCAACAGTCCATAGAAAAACCAAAAGGTGTATCACTGCAGCGCACTCGCTCCGCTCCGTCTGTCAGAGTTGGAGACTCAGGTCCGCCGGGGTTCAGCGGCGCACAGACTTTTCAACAATAGCGCTCATTGAAGTGAACGAGGCGAACACTTAAACAAGCTGGGGAAGTGGGAGGTACCTTGTGAAGCCGGGGCGCGCGGTCCTGCGCGTCCCCGAGGCGGGCTGCACCTGCAAAAAATATCCACAGCAGGAAAGATGGTTTATTGTGAAAGATACACACATGCAGATTACACAAACTGTAACACAGTGCAATGTACAACGTTATGATACTACAGTCTGTGTAACAGTTTTGTATGTATGACCCATCCTAAAGATTTTATTTAATTCAGGGGTTCAGTGTTGTGTTCAAGGACACTTGAAGAGTGTTCATACCTGCATTTTGGAGCAGTTTATGTAAAGCTCTGAAGCCTTTCTCCATAAAGCTACAGTTGGGGGCGTCACATCACATCCTGGGCCCTATGCATAAGCAGTCTCTGTGGGGTCCCCTGTCCATCCTCTCTTGATCCATGTCTCTCACATACACCTTTTGAATTGTTCTTTTGTATAAAATCAGTTTGCTTTCTTTCCCTTTCCTTATTTTTTTTCTTTTTTTTTTTTATTTTGAAACCCAGAGTTCCCTTTCTTGGGGAGAGACATGACAGTGTATGCTAATGCTCAGGCAGCATAAAGGCCCATTTATGTTCCCTTTACGTACGAAAATGTATATGTCCGTTTCAAACGATGTTACCGTCACTGCCCACATACTTCCATGCGTCCTTTACTTGGCATGGATGTTAACCAATATATCCACCAGGGGGCAGCCTAGAGTCAAAAGTTTATGACAACAACAAACTCAAAAACAAACATGGCGACTGTGGAGGAGATATTGATAATGTACCTCTTGCATAAAAGACAAAGTCTCTAGTACTGCCGATGAGAGAATTTGACGACAAGCGTCATTTCCAGTACTTTAGGATGTCCGCCGGGGCATTTGATAACTGCCATTGTTATTTCTTTTTCGTGTCTCACTAGAGCTACGTATTGGGTAGTGACAGCAACACTGCCCCCATGGTTTCCGGTGGAACTGCTCCGTTTGGCCCATATCCATAAGCTTTATGGAAATGTGTAGAAATACGGACGAAATGAACGCGAAGCACAGACAGAAGGCTCCGTCCGTATCCAGATCCGTATTTAACAATGAGCATAAATGGGCCTTAAGCAGTCATTCAATCTGCTCTAGCTACATTTGTCATTGACTGCTCATTAACTGCAGTTAAACTGTCTAACTAGGCAGCACTGATCAAATATCAGTCAAGTTTCTGTTACTGCATTGCCTGTTTCTGGCCTCAAGTGTTTTTAAGAAACATATTTTAGTGTACTGTTTAGCTGTTAAATGAGAGTTACTGATCTGGCCGGCCAACACATTCTCACTCTGACCTCGTCACATATCAGTGTTTGGTCATGGACTTTCTATGTCCGGATATAATGTGCAAGATACCCTGGGTACGTTGGTTGTTGACATTCTGGGATGCCGTGTCAGGTTCTGCCTGTCACATGCATTGCCTTCTTTCAAAATACACTTCTGTTTTCACAGGAAATTTTCCGTTTACATACAGTAGACTCTTTCAAAATAAACCCACAACGTTGATACAAAACCGAAAATGTACTCCCCTGACGCACATAGTTGGGTTAAGCCATCAAAAGCATGTGGTTAGGTTTAGGAAAAAGGAACAGGGTTTGGCTTTGTAAACTTATGGGACACTAACATTACTCTCCCGGGTGTAAGTCGGTGTTTGTTGGACCCATCCACCACCCCTCCCACCGGCCCAACTCGGACTTTTGTTGTCTTAACTTTCGTTCTTGTCCTGCTGTGTTTCCCCTGATGCCGCTGAGCCTTGTTAAACTATAACGGCAACTGGCCATGTATCATGCCAATGTGAAAGGATGGCCTTGTTTGTTGGTGTCTGATGCTGCAAGTCGCTTCCCAAGTGCTGGATTTTGGTGACTTCTTAGTGAGACCAGTTTGGGCCACAATGATGGATGCATTTTACAGCTGAACAGTACACTAAAATGTTTCCGAAAACTTTTGAGACAAGAAATGGGCAATGCAGTAACAGACACTTGATTTAAATGTGATCAGCCTAGTTTGACAGTTTGACCGCAGTTCGTGAGAAGTGATTGATACGGTGTATTTTTTAGCAAAGAGTTGCCTATTTACAAATCCAGCAGACGCAGACATTAGCATTTATTTAGAGTTGTGTTTCTTTAGAATTTCCTATCTCTGATTTGGTATTCGTTAGCCCTTTTGCCACAGAGATTGCACTTTAGGGCGCTACATAGTCCCTTACGGCATCATGATGCTCCAGTGCGTGATTTTAGACAGCATGCTGGCATCCCAGAGACAAAAGAAGCGTGATGGGCATGACGTTTAACACAATGGCGTTAGCCTCTAGTCCGCAGTGCTTTCTAAACAATAACAGCGGCATTACATGTCAATAATTATCATTTACTGTCTCTGTTATAAGGAGAATAATCTTATCTTCTGCCTGGAAGGTGAGGAGCTCCCTCACCACATTGTTGTCCTCATTTGCAGACATTCGGCCACTGTTGTCTTCTTTGAGTTAGCTGCTAACTGCTGCTAGCTGCTTTTTGGTCGCATGCATAGCACATCGTCAAAACCTCACACCTGTCCCGCCTATGGTCCTATCCTGCTGGCTGTCCTCTTTACACAGTTACTGTTACTACTACTACTACTACTACTGCTGTTACTATTTCCGTTGCAAGCTTAAAGGCAAGACAGCTCTGTCCTCCCATGCCCCAATCATACCTATTCTACAGAACGGCAAGGCAGCATAACAGCGCTATATTTCTATCTTGAACAAGCAGTGTAAAAGGGGCCAATAACTCCCGAGGGAAGTATGTGACTCTTTAGCTGCCAGATGCTTCTCGCTGTTCCCCATCTAGTCGCCAACTTTGTCTTTGTGTCGTTAAATACTGGGTAGGTTGGGCACAGTGGGTTTATCAGAGATTTTTGCTAAAAATAGCTGCTTACTGTGTCTGAAAACAGTGAACTGAAACAGTTGCAGCCATCTCTGAAAAAAAATGTCTGAGAGCTGAAGGATATTAAAAAGCTGCATAGAGCTGAGGGAAACTGTAAAGTCAAGTGGAAATTCTCTGTTGGTTTGCTGCCACTACAAGCAAAATCTGTCACAGTACATGTTGTCATTTAATCGATTGTGAATTTTAAAACCATTTTTCAGACCAGCTTTACTTTGGGTATGTTTGCAGGTGAGAATGCTGCAATTTAAACTCAAGTACGTCTAGATAAATAATGTCTGAAAATGCAGTTCTCTGTTTCCTTCCAAGCTCAATGGGGAGAGATTTGTTAGAAGTGAGAATCCCCAGTCAACGACAGGAAATGACCTTATAACACAAGGGCTTATGGGTATAAGGAGACGGATGTTGAGGTCTGAAAGTCAGCACCTCTATTACACTTGGAAACATGAGCAGACAAAAATGAAGCCGAACTCCTCTTCATTTACAAACCAACATGACACCACAGAAAGCCGATTGGAACAAATATCACAGACATGTTAGGTATAAGAAAAGGACTCTTTGTTTCCAGAACTACTTCGTGACAGTTTACAGAGTGCAAACAAACAAATTCCTTAATTAATCCAATTTAAAAATCCAATAAAGCTTTTTTCTCACTTATCAAATGCAAGAAAACTAAATTGTTTGGTTGATGTGATCCTAAATGAAGACTGTTGGTGGCTAGAAAGTAAATCCGTTGACAAGACAGCAAGCAATTACTATTTCCTTTTATTTCTCTTAACTGTAACGCTATGATACAATACTGAAAAGCCACGTGTTCAATCCCCATAAAGAGTCTCCTATTTCCTGTTGAATTGAGCATGGCACTCCAAAAGATCTCCAAAACCTGTGTGTGTGTGTATGTGTTTAACAGTTTTAAATAACAGGCCACACACAATCATCAATAATCACGATAAAACCTAGCCAGCTTTGCTTTTTTGAAAAATCTCTGTGCCAACTGTGTCATGAAAGTTCACTCACCTATTATATTTCTGTTTATTTATACAATTTACTTACGGTTCAGTCGCCAAGTTTGCATTTCCATTTTAAGCCTGTATATTTATACACCGTCTTGGGAAAGTTGCTGTAGGTGCAATGCTAACCAAATACTTTCGCCGGTCACCTCAGCTGTAAATGAGCTGTGGACGGAGACACTAAATTCAACTGTGCGTGTTCAGGAACACACTGCAACCTGAAACTCTGATCGTTGTCACCAACCCTCAGCCCGGTGAAATGGGTTTAACAGCATCACTGTGAAGATTGACCCACTGGTGTCACTCACACACAAACACAACTCAACATTCATAATCCACTAACAGATGAAAACAAGATACAAGCATGAAATATAACATATTAACAAACATATATATTATATGTGCAGCTACAGCAGCCAATACACAGATGCCGTCACACACAAAAACACTATGAGACATCTGAGAGTCTAAAACGAGACGGTCAGTCAGACAAGTCATAACATGCATGAGCACTGTCCAGATGAAATCCTGCTTCCATCTACGTGACTCACACACAATAAAACACAAAGGAATGGGATCAGTTAGCCAAAGGTGCTGTGTCTAATTTTGTAGGAAAAAAAAAGATTTGAAATACTTTGGCGATTAGAGCTTCGCAAGAAAATAAACTTGACATGAACCCAGAAGCATTGAGAACAAAACCAGTTATTGTTCCCTTTACTGGATCTGGGATGCAGTGTGAGGAATCAAATCAGCAAAGCAAGTCTGTTATAAAAATATTACCACATTTATTTGGTACATTCGATAGTGCAACTAAGTTGAGAGCAGTTTGAGATTTTGATTTACTTGCATGTTTCTACTGTAATACTACTTAACTAAAGACGCTGCACAATCACATATTAAAAAAAAAAAAAAAAGCAATTATAGATGTAAGCAGCAATCTGATTGGTCCAACATGGATTCCTAACACATCAAAAGGATAGTTCAGATTCTCTGAAGTGGGGCTGTATGAGGTACTTATCCACAGTCAATGTTTTACCTACAGCTGGCACAACCCCAGTTTGGAGAAGCAGCAGGAGTGCCACTTTGGTAGCTCAGCAATGTACTGCTGTGGACAGGGACAGAAACAAAACATATTTTAACCACCTAAAAAATCCCTCCCATAAAATTCTAGAACTGTTAAAATGTACACTATATTGAGCGTATTTTCACCACTTCACCTTTCTATCAGACAACCTCTTTTGACTGAAAGCTGTTCAGTCATCAGTGCTCCAGTCCATGCCTCAGTCCATAATAGTCCATTTAGTAAGTAAAGTCAAGTAAGTAAAGTCAAGTAAGTAAGTAAAGTAAAGTAAAGTAAGTAAAGTAAAGTAAAGTAAAGAAAGTAAAGTTAGTAAAGTAAAGTAAGTTAAGTAAAGTAAGTAAAGTGAAGTCAAGTAAGTAAAGTAAGTAAAGTAAGTAAAGAAAGTAAAGTAAGCAAAGTAAAGTAAAGTAAAGAAAGTAAAGGAAGTGAAATAAGTAAAGTGAAGTAAAGTAAGTAAAGTAAGTGAAGTAAGTAAAGTGAAGTAAAGAAAGTAAAGTAAGTTACGTCAAGTAAGTAAACTCAAGTAAGTAAAGGAAAGTAAAGAAAGTAAAGTAAGTAAAGTAAAGTAAAGAAAGTAAAGTAAGTAAAATAAGTAAAGTAAGTTAAGTAAAGTAAGTAAAGTGAAGTAAGTAAAGTCAAGTAAGTAAAGTGAAGTAAAGTAAGTAAAGTGAAGTCAAGTAAGTAAAGTAAAGTAAGTAAAGTGAAGAAAAGAAAGTAAAGTAAAGTAAGTAAAGTAAAGTAAGTTAAGTAAAGTGAAGTCAAGTAAGTAAAGTAAAGAAAGTAAAGTAAAGAAAGTAAAGTAAGTAAAATAAGTAAAGTAAGTGAAGTAAAGTCAAGTAAGTAAAGTCAAGTAAGTTAAGTAAAGTAAGTAAAGTAAAGTAAGTAAAGAAAGTAAAGTAAGTTAAGTAAATAAAGTCAAGTAAAATAAAGTAAGTAAAGTAAAGAAAGTAAAGTTAGTAAAGTAAGTTAAGTAAAGTGAAGTCAAGTAAGTAAAGTAAGTAAAGTAAAGAAAGTAAAGTTAGTAAAGTAAGTTAAGTGAAGTCAAGTAAGTAAAGTAAAGAAAGTAAAGTAAGTAAAGTGAAGTAAAGTAAGTAACGTGAAGTCAAGTAAGTAAAGTAAAGTGAGTAAAGTGAAGTAAAGTGAGTAAAGTGAAGTAAAGAAAGTAAAGTGAAGTAAAGTAAAGTAAGTAAATTAAAGTAAGTAAGGTGAAGTAAAGTGAGTAAAGTAAAGATAGTAAAATAAGTAAAGTAAAGTAAGTAAAGTAAGTGAAATAAGTAAAGTAAAGTAAGTTAAGTAAAGTAAGTAAAGTAAGTTAAGTAAGTAAAGTAAAGTAAGTAAAGTGAAGTAAAGAAAGTAAAGTAAGTAAAGTAAGTTAAGTAAGTAAAGTGAAGTCAAGTAAGTAAAGTGAAGCAAGTAAAGTAAAGTAAATAAAGTGAAGTAAAGTAAGTAAAGTGAAGTCAAGTAAGTGAAGTAAAGTAAAGTAAAGTAAGTAAATTAAAGTAAGTAAAGTAAAGAAAGTAAAATAAGTTAAGTAAAGTAAGTAAAGTGAAGTAAGTAAAGTGAAGTAAAATAAAGTAAGTAAATTAAAGTAAGTAAAGTAAAGAAAGTAACGTCAGTAAAGTAACGTAAAGTGAAGTAAAGTAAATAAATTAAAGTAAAATCTGGAGGATTTTCAAACAAAACAAAATATAGACATATACAAATGAAATCCTGCTTAATCATCACCTATGGGCTTCTACTCATGTGTGGTGGTGACTCTGTTTGCAGAGCTCCTGCCCTTTAACTGTATTTTGATGTTTTTGTGAGCTCAGACCGCTTCTGGGCGGAGATTTTCCCAGCCAATGAGAGAGCGCAGGTGCCGTGCCCGAGCGTGTCCGAGCGTGCACCAGCGCAAGCCTTGCCTGAACCTCTTCTGTGAAGCCTTCTTCCGTACCTCTGGGCTCCGTACACCCGGGAGAGTTGAGCCTGATAGGAGGGGCCGAATTTGAATGTGTGTTTACAAACAGCAACTGGAAAATCCTCCAGACCCTACCTTTAAGTAAAGTCAGTAAAGTAACGTAAAGTGAAATAAAGTAAGTAAAGTAAGTAACGTAAAGTGAAGTAAAGTAAGTAAAGTAAGTAAATTCAAGTAAGTAAAGTCAAGTAAGTAAAGTTAAGAAAGTAAAGTAAGTAAAGTCAAGTAAGTAAATTAAAGTAAGTAAAGTAAAGTCAAGTAAGTAAAGTTAAGAAAGTAAAGTAAGTAAAGTCAAGTAAGTAAAGTAAAGTCAAGTAAAGTAAGTAAATTAAAGTAAGTAAAGTAAAGTCAAGTAAGTAAAGTTAAGAAAGTAAAGTAAGTAAAGTAAGTAAAGTCAAGTAAGTAAAGTGAAGTAAAGTAAGTAAATTAAAGTAAGTAAAGTGTTGGAGCTGTATATCCATTCCATGGATACCATTACAGTAAAAAAAATAAATAAATGTACAATCAGTTGCAAGTTTGTTAGGTACACCTGCAAAATCTTAGCATAAATAAATCAACACCTTTTTGAATACACTCTGAACATTATAACCCTCTTGAAGTCAGGGTTTATTGCAGGATTGTTGCATTAGATTGCTTTACTTTTAGCATTTGTCAGTGCCATACTAAATGATGCAAATGGCATGATATTGTTAAGGTCTGATTATAGGTCGCTAAAGCTGGAATTATAAAAAGGGTTAACAGACATCGCACTGTAGATGCATATGAGAAGGTCCACCATGTTTCTTGACCAAATATTAGAATACTCATATAGTTTGCATCTTTATATCAGTTATTCGTGGTGATACAGAGCAAGGGGTTGTGCAGAAGGTTTGCAGTGGAAATATCTTGCTGTAGATAATTGTTAAGAGATCTGTGGGAACAGGAGGTGCTGTGACAAACTAGGGAATGTACCTTTAAGGGAATATGTTAATATCTGATCATTGAACCTCCATTCTTCATCTACTGTATGTAGCCACTATTAGTGGCCTCAACTCCCTAAACAAGGCCAGCTGTGTTGTGGGATCATCCCCATTAAAGAGCTGCTTTGTGTTCAGTGTGTTTGTGTACCTGGATGTGTGTGTTTGTGTTAGTGCACTTACAAGGCTGAGAAAGAGGAACAGATTTTGACAGGAGTGCGAGAAAACAAACACGACAACCCCGATCGTCCACACTCGTGTTTGATCTGCTGCTCTGCAGTGACACACTAAAGTGGGATTTTCTCATGGGAAGAAATCAATACACCAGAATGATGAGTTGGCCACTGACGCCACGTGAATCAAACAGGGAGAAGGTTTCATTGTGTGAATTTAATCAGTATTTCAGTGGACTAAACCCTAACAATCTGATAAATAATTTACAAAAGGAGTTCTTGAGGGTTTTTTCTCGCATCAAATCAATGTGTTTCATTCAATGGGTTCAATTTTTTGTATTTAAGAACTGGAAACTGGAAAGTTCAATTGGTCGATCCACCTATTTTACGGATAAAGGTCAGTTTAGTTGTTACAGGGAGTGCGACTCAGCCTGTGAAAACAGCTGTGTAATGTCCTCTCTGACTCTGGATTGAAAATAAAATGATAGACGAAAGAAAATAAGCTTTAGTCCTCAAATATTTGGAAGAAAACCTGCATTATAAACTGATGTAATGGAGTTTGAAATATGAGGTCATAACAAACTAGTCCATACCCATTGGTAGCTTTGTCACCTTCTACCTATGCCAATCCTCAATGCCTAAGTGCATGACTGACTGACAGAATGACACACTGACAGTTTCTGTGATTATGTACAGCATACCATACCATGACTTAGTCATACCAAAAATTAGAAAACAACAATATTGGTCCACAGGGGGAGCCACAGCGATCGGTTGCATTTTAGCCATTTTTAAGCATTTTTCTGTCGTTATAGCGCCACCCAGTTGCCAATTAGAGTTAAATTTCTCCAGTCACCTTGAGGTGTCCTGTTCTACATATCTACCAAGTTTAGTAAAAATCCATATGGCGGTTAGGCCTAGATAAGAAATTAGTTCTCTAGCACCCCCATTTTGTTTGATGGGGTCAATAATGGAGGGGTCCCCTCAGATTATGTGTGGTCATATGCCTACAAAGTTGCGTGGTGATGGGTGAAACCCTTGAGATGTTATACATCTTTATGTGATGAGCCACGCCCTCTGCAATATTCATTGCCTTATAGAAGCTCAGTTTTAGTAAGTTTTCCAACTTTTGCCAAGAGAGAACTTTAGATATTGGTCCCTAGATTGTGTTCACCCAGTTTCATGCAGATCGGTCAAACTTCCTAGGAAGAGATTGATTTTAAGTGTTTTTCAAAAAATTCAAAATGGCGGAAAATCTATATAACCAGAAGTTATGGGTTCTTGAGGCAAATTTGTTCCTCATGAGGAGAGACATCTCTGTGCAAAGTTTCATGTCTCTACGACATACGGGGCATGAGATATGCCCATTCAAAGTTTGCAATTTCAATCGGTTGCTATAGCGCCCCCCTTTGGCCAATTGATGTAATATTGCTTCATTCACATCCTCCCATGACCCTCTACCACTGTGCCAAATTTCACATGAATTGACCAAGTCAGTGACGAGAAAAACGTGGAACAGACACACAGACAGAGTTTTCGTCATTATATAGTGAGATAGAAATTGAATATTGTTTAAATAGTCTGAGAATCACAAAGAAGTCTCATAGTTGGGTGGGGCTGTGCTGTGGAGTCTCCTCCATCCACTCCATCCATAAAGGGTCCAAAAACTGGTACTTAACTGTCGATGGACACTCAAGACACTCAACAGCATTTCCATACAAGAACACTAATAGCACAGTACAGACAGACTGAGTGTGGCTCCTGCAGCGTGAGCACCAGAGGAGGGCTGTAGACGAGTACGAAGTGGGAGTGTTTCAGTCTGAGTGTTTATGTGATTCACACAGCCGGGACTGGGGAAGGCTTGACCCCTTCACAGACCTCCCCAACACAACGGAAATGACTTCTGTCTATGTAAGACCTTCACTTCTCTCCGTCAGAACCTCCCGTACTCCTCCACTTGTTGCTCTACGGGAATGTAAATAAGACAGGAAAACAAAGATGGAAAAAGCAGAGGGAGTGTTAATCTTTGTGTATTGTGCTTGTGTTCATGTGTTTGCATGCAAGGCTGTCGGCATGCACTTGTATGCTGCACATAGCTGCTCACACAGTGTGTTTTATAACGCTGCAGACACTGGCAGAGTTGATTTAATGAGGGCTGGTGCACAGACTGTGTTTCAGGGAGAAATTGTAGCGGCGGAGAGGAAAACATGAAATAACACACAGGAATTCAGGCCTTGAGTTACTCTCCCCAGGGGAGGCAGTCAGACTCGCTGTTTGGTCCCGAGCCAGGAACACTGAAGGAAGACGAGAGCAGCGTCCATGTCTTTTTTTACTCCTGTTTCTCTGTGTTGTTAACTGCTCTTGGTGTCTGCTTCCCTCTGCGTTTACTGAAACTCTTGACAGTGTATCTTCCTTATTCTCCATATCCCTGTGTCATCTTTCCTCTGTGTGTGTGTGGTGTGTGGCTGTGACAGGGTACAGGTGGCAACTTCATCATCAGTGGAGCAAAGTTCTATTAATATACCAGCGTCTGAGAGGAGCGCACACACACACACACACACACACACACCAGGCCCTAGAGGGCACAGACAGGGTGGTAATGTCTCTCTCTAAGTGTGTGTGCATGTGTGTGTGTGTGTGTGTGTGTGTGTGCAGTCTGGAAGTGACAGTCCTCCAGCAATACTACCTAAGTGGTGTCTCAGGTCATTACAAAGCAGTCAGGACATTTAATTTATCTTACAAGTACTCATAATGGGATTTACTCTAAATTTTAAACTTCATTGTACTTTTGCATTCCTTCTGTGTTCCCTTCCAAATCTTATGTAATTCCCTCTGATTATTTCAGTCATGAAACTTGAAATGAACTACATTTAAATCGATCTCTTATCCAAAGTGCTTTCAATTTTCCTCCTTTTCATCCAGGCTCACACACTGATAGCAGTGACGCTAACATCTAAGGTGCTGGCCTGACAATTAGGGGTGTGACGATACGTCAGTCTGGACTGATATATTGATTCAGTGTTCAACTATCTACGGAAGCATATTGCATTCACATGACAAATTAAAAAAGCCCTGTTTTTTGAGTATTTTTTTTCTGTTTTTCGGAGTAATTTATTTATTTTTCTGTTTTTCTAAATATTTTTTTCCCTGTTTTTTTGTGGTAATTTTTTTTCCTAAACGAGGAGATGAGATACTTCAAAATCCCGCAAGAAGCTCCCACCTGACACCTGCAAGTGACCCATGCATCCATGGTGACTCCTGCTCATGCATGTATTTTGCATCCGTGCTCCTGCTCCTAGACAATTTCAACTATGGGATCAATAAGGGTAAGGCACGTAATTAGTTACACACAGGGTGTGATAATCTAGCTATGTTTTCAACTGCATCCTTCTAGTGTAGGCCTATCGCTCAATGTAACAGGTTAGGTTAGTAACAGGTTGTAACAACATTAGCTGACAAATTTGTGATGAGTAACAATGTCCAGCATGATGGAAAAAAACTGTTAGCTTAACGTTACCTGACAACTGAAATCATGCCCATACATGTTTGTCAGCTAACGTTGTTACAACCTGTTACTAACCTAACCTGTTACCCCTCGTTCAGGAAAACAAATTACCATGAAAAACATAAAAAAATTTCCACAAAAAGCAGAAAAAAAATACCCCGAAAAACAAAAATTACTCAGAAAAACAGGGCTTTTTTTAATTTGTCAAGTGAATGCAATACGCTTCCGTATCCGTACAATATGCTTCCGTATCTATCTAATATTATCAATGCAAAGTAAAAACTGTATTTTGAAATGGCACATCTGTGTCACCATTTCTGTCCCAGCACACCCAGCACTCAGTCGACAATGGCAAACAGGCAAGAAAAAGACAATTAAGTTTTTAACTGACACCATCTCATATTGATCGCTGGCCCCTGAATTAAATCAAATGAAAAATGCTAAATTATTGTGAGAGAATGAAAGCATAAACTTGATAAATACTAGTAGCACACACAGTATTAGAAACACAGAAAAATATAGTCAGAGTATGGCAGCTTGGATGTGGTTAGATGTTAATAAAATAATATGTCCTAGTTTGGGAACATGCAGAAACAATTTTACTAGTAACACGCAACATCTGTGAATTATCTTTTTTTTCTTTTCTTACTGTGCTGCAAAGGACAAAAGTCTGGACATTGGTTTAATACAGTGCTGTGGTTTTCATTCTAAAAAATGTATGCAAATAGAAAGGCCATTAAAAATCACTGTGCAAACTGACATTCAGCTTTATCACTAATTACAAGTGCAAACTGCTTCAGGTTTAAGGCTGCCAGCTCATTCCCTAGAGTTTCTTTTTCTTGCCACCTTCACAGCGAGAACAGATTTCACACTGAGCTGACGATTGCTGACGTTCAGGCCTGCATCCTAAAATTGAGAGAAAGTCTTCTTACTTGCCACCCGACTGCTCAGTATGTTCTTATTTCTGACTGACAGAGAGGAGTGATGCTCTGAGAGAAGAAAGGGGAGGAGGAGCAGGAAAGAAAGAGGCAGCAGGAGTGAAGAGGGGAGGGAGAAAACAAGGTGATGGAAACAAGGAAAACAAGGGTGGGAACAATGTGGAGGCACATGGGGAGATGAAACAAGGAGGAAAGCGAGGAGGAAAGTAGAGAAAGATGAGAAGGCATTGAAAGGAAAAAAGGTAACAAGAACGAGAGGGTGAGATTTAATGATTGGGAAGAAGGGAGGAATAAAAACAACAACGGGGGGTGACAGAGGGAGGTGGGAGGGAGATGACGCAGCCATGGGAACCCATGTTCGGTCCACGCTCCAGACTCGGCAGTTGTTGGCCTCGTCAGTGTTGTTATTTTGTTTTCACATGGCCTTCAACCTTGCCGTGTGGACCGCAAACAGATGTTAATGACGTTCTTCACCAGAGTTTCTCCTCAGAGTCATCAGAGCTGCTAATGAGCTGTGGTGAGACGATCTGTGGGGATGGACGCCATCACAGCAGTAACACAAGCTGGGAGAAAACTGCAGCTATTAGTTACAAAAACGGGCACAAATACTATAGTATAGTACACTGAACAAAAATATAAACGCAACACTTTTGTTTTTGCTCCCATTTTTCCTGAGCTGAACTCAAAGATCTAAAACATTTTCTATACACACAAAAGACCATTTCCCTCAAATATTGTTCACAAATCTGTCTAAATCTGTGTTAGTGAGCACTTCTCCTTTGCCTAGATAATCCATCCCACCTCACAGGTGTGGCATATCAAGATGCTGATTAGACAGCTTTTGTGCCTTAGGCTGGCCACAATAAAAGGCCACTTTGAAATGTGCAGTTTTATCACACAGCACAATGCCACAGATGTCGCAAGTTTTAAAGGAAGAGTGCAATTGGCATGCTGACTGCAGGAATGTCCACCAGAGCTGTTGCCCTTGAATTGAAACCTCAGGTTTCCTACCGTTCTGGAACCTTTTTTCTACTCAGGCAACAGTATGATGTCATATGTGGGATTGTAACAATGCGTCGCAGCGATGCAGACCCCCTGTTTATTTTGGCTAGCTGAAACAGTTTCCCTCAGTGGAAACAGAGCTTTCATTTACTTTAATTTCACAGACAAGAAACAATAAATTGTGAAGAAAATAAAGCCTCCACAAAAATGGCATTTTAACTCTGTGTGTGATTTGTCCTGACTTCATGTGGGTAGAGGAAATCCCCGCTTGTTGCTAGGCTAATCTATACAATGTAAAATGCCTTAGGCTTGTGCTAATAACGTTAGCATAAGTCAGTTGTTTTGTCGGTGAATGTTACCTTTGTTAAATGTTGCTGTTGTCCCTGGCTTCATATAAGTAGTGGAAAAGTCTGCTAGCCACTAGGCTAATTTATACAATGTAAAATGCCATAGCCTTGTGCTAATAACATTAGAATGTTGTATTTGTCTGGAAAGTGTGGAAATGCTTTGTCTGTGAATGCTAGGAGTTATAGTGAAGCTAAGTTCTGTACTTGTGTTTGAAATTGCTATTATGCCATATAATGTGTGTTTTGAATCAACAAAACTTTACAGCACTTCACAGAAACCCCGCCTACTAGTGTTTTGGTGATATAATCGCAGAGTGACACAGACGCACAACCACACAAGTATAAATGATCACAGTGGTGCAAGCCACATGCCTAGCCTTCAGCATTGTGTGTTACAGTGTAGGCTCTGCATAGAGCTGATGCACAAGTGTAAATCCTGCTGTAGTGTGCTGGATGTCTTTATATGGTTATCTGCTGCAGGCACATTACTGCAAGTGTTTACATTAAGTGCCACGTGGAGTTACATGCTAATGTAATGGAAATATGTAATTATGATTGCCAGTAATTTCTCACGATTTTGGGTCATATTTCTACTGGAACATGTCTAGCTTTGATTGGTGACTTTTCACAGTAAAAAGTGCTGACCAATCAGAGCAGACAGGGTTTTTTGATAGGGGGTCTTAAAGAGACAGGCACTAAAACTGAGTGTCTCAGACAGCAGGTGAATACAGGTGTTCTAGCACAGAAGAGGAAAATAAAGTGTTTTTGACCATTAAAGCCTGTAAACATGTTCTAGCGGACCCCTCAATACATGTATCAATCTCAAAATGAGCATAATAGGTCCGCTTTAAAAGCCTTGCACTTATATACTGACATGTTTAATTTATAACTGTGTTCAAACCATCAGTGTTTCAAAGTTTGTAAAATAAAGATCCAGACTTCAAAATAAAAGTGTTGCATAAGTAGCCAAATTTATAGTCATATGTTTAAGGGTTATGAGACTCTACTGTAGCTGAGGGTGACCCACTTAAAAAAATGTCACACACACAGGGGCCAAAGCACCCATGGAGATACATAAGTGATAGATGTAATAATTGCTGTGATGAACACAAAGCTCATTCTCACCTAATATTTTAATATTTTTCAGCTTCTATAGCGGAGCAGCTTCGACAGCTGTGTTTGTTTTTAGAGACAGAGAGGATGTTTGACTGAAAGCTGAAGTGAAGAAGCCATGTGTACCATTATGTATGCTTGTTTGATTCTGTGTAACATACGTCGACTTGTGACATGTTTGTGTGTGTTTTTGTTTTGCGTCTGTGTGCGTGCATCGAGGGAGCGGACCACTGCAGCGTGAGGCCTCCGGCAGCCGGGGCTGTTGGTGGTTCTCACAGCCCACAGAGTGACTCTCTGACAGGGATCGTGAGAACCTGAGTGGCAGGGGTCCTTGTGGTTAAGAGCAGGAATTCCGATAAAATGTTAAAGAGGAAAGAAAAAAGAAAAAACAGCAGTGTTGATGACGCTAACAGCATAACACAGTGAGAGGGAGGCTTTAGATGAGACTATTTTTGGATCAAGGAAAAAAAATCCATGCTGCTACAAACCAGTGGAGCATCAACTCTAATGATTATAATCACACTTTGAAAAGTTTTTAACTATCAAGACTTAAAAGTAAAAACAAATACTGACCCAGACTGGAGCCAGCAGGACGTCTGTGTGTCTCTCTTTTCCCACATCTGTCTTCTTTCTCTCAACTCTCCACTCTCTTTCTCTGAGCTCATCAAACGACACTGTCTCCTCTCCCTCTTTCTCGCTTTGTCCTTCATCTCAGACTGCAGCTTCCCTCGTGTCACTGTGAGGCTGTGTGATTATTTATGGGCTGGTGAATGGAGAGAGATAGTATGAGACCCAGAGCTTGGCCTCTACCCTTCCACTGTCTGCTACCTCTAAATCACCACTGAGTCTGGCTTGCTTTCACATTAATGGTTTGTTCATGTGTATGTGTATGTGTGTGTGTGTGTGTGTGTGTGTGTATGACTGGGACAGAACAAAACTTTGGACATGTGTTTGTTAAGTCTGCTGTTGTAATTTCAAATGTCTGCAGCTAGAATTGAAGCATGTGCTTTCAAAGTAACAGCACCAAGTTAACATAGATTTTCTCTTTGTTAATGTCCAAGGTTGCTGTATTTCTTTGTGCAATATTGGAATATTGTCAACAGTTTTAGTGAATTTCAACTTTATGGCATTGAGTTTGTTAACAAATCTGCTGGTTTACAACACCTCAAGAGCTCATTTCACGTGTTGGCATTCTACAAATATTTCAAACAGACTGAACGGCTCTAAAAAATGATGATTCAAACAATCAAACCCAGTCATGTAAAGCTGTTTTGCTGTAAACACAACTGTGACAAAGAGTTGTGGTGGTGATAGAGTGGTGCAGTAACATGTCCTAAAACCCAATGATGAGTTAGCATTTTAGCGCGCCTGGTTCCCTCGTCTCAAAGTCAATAGGTTTTTGGTAAGATGCCTGAAATAAGGTCTGTGGTTCACACAAATTTAAGAGACATCCACGTTTTGCTTTGGGACACAAAATACACCAGTAAATACCCCCCACATAAATTCCGAAACCTTAACATGTATTAAAAATGGCTAAATCAGGCTACAGAACATCATCACGAAGAACGTGGCTTTACAGCCTTGTTGTGGTGGCGACGTTGAGGTCATGCGAGTGTGGTGCAATTTATTTATAGCCTAACATTAGCTTTGCACTTCTAGTGACTGCATTCATTCCTCAAAAATAATAAAAGTTCATTTGTGAAGGTTATCTTGCTGAACAAAACATGTAAAAATAAACTTCTGTTTGCACTGAGATTACTTTCTTCAGTAATCCAAAATCCAATGGTAAAATTCTGTTCTGTGTTGACCTACAAGTAAACGTCATCCCTGCACCACTCTGTCGTGTCAGTTGTTTTTCCACATCAAGCAGACACATAGCAACATTAGCATTTATTTGGGGTCGTGTTTCTGATGGAGTCCAATATTCACTCTTCTATTAGCTCTGTTCCACCAACTCTACACCAACCTACACCAACCTAAATGTGAAGCTCTCGAGCTGCTAAAGATGCTATTATGTTGGCAATGTTAGCTAGTCAATAACTTTGTCTTTTTGGTGCTTGACAGTTCTGTAAAGTGGGTTTTAACTGAAAACAGCTGCTGCTGTGACTGGAGCTAGGTTGATGAGAGTGATACTGAACCAAAACAATAAAAAGGTTGGCTCTAAAAAAAATGAAAATAAAAAATAAAATAAAACAAAAAAAAAAGATCTTAAAGACGCTGAGCTCTGTGGAGCTGGGGGAAGTTCATAGTTGGGTGATTAATTATGATGGGTTTATCACTATTAGCAACTCCACTTTGTATATTAATTTCACCAGTGTTGCTAAAGGGGCTCGATGCGAAATTCAGAGCATATGTGTTGTTTGGACATGGTTCTCAACATGCTTTTGGCTGAGCAAGAGCAGACCCCCAAAAAGTGTGCCAGGCTTTGAGGCCAATTTTCATAACAGCCAAACAGCAGAATCACAACTCCAGTGTCCATCACATGATGCCATGGGGCCCAAAATTACTTTTTACTGTAGACTTACATTGGGAAAGAGACATGGATCAATTTGTTGAGTGTCACAACCCCCAGAAATAAAGCTTTCTTAGCTTTGTGTGCCAATGAGCAACTTTCATAGGAATGAAAGTTGTCCGACGCTGTACCCAGACCCCTTAATACATCCATGAGCAGGTGACTAACAACTAACAGTGTTAACGAATTAAACAGCGCTATACAACAGGCAACAGTGCTGACAGAGCTAACAGCGTTAACCAGGGGGATATTGGAGGGTGGGTGCTACATTTCTGTTACAATGCCATCCTGACATTACCGCCATAAGCACCATATGAGCACAGTGCAAAGCAGTGCCTATTTTTAGCTTTAAAGATACTTAATCACAGTGGTTGAGTGATGCAAAGCACATTTGCTTGACTGTTTCTGATTTGAGAGCAGCCGCATAGTATTTAGAATAAATCTGTGTTCATCTCATCTGATTAGAAAAGTGTACTCAGCAGTAAAATTAGCTGCTCTAGTCTTAAGTTTACACAGAAACCTGCACTCTTTTGAGCATTGTATAGTTACTGTAAATCCCGCTGTTCTATCTTAAGGGTACATATAGGGATTTTGTGTGTGTGTGTGTGTGTGTGTGTGTGTGTGTGTGTGTGTGTGTGTGTGTGTCTTGTCGGTCTGTAGCCAAAACAGGACCAGCTGAAGTTTATGACCCTGCAGCGCTCTCTGTTTTGTCAGGGTGACAGAGGGGACAGCCGGTCTGCAGGGGGCAGCGGGGGGAGGATACATTACAGCAACACCTGGTCTGTGAGTATAACTGGAGAATATTGTGGTGTGGATGGTACTAGAATTTTAGGTTGTTTTGCAAATTTAAATTTCAGTTTCAAACAAATTCTAGCTGAAGGCCAGGGTTCCTATAAAAGTAAGTGAATGAACACATGAGAATGATAGAAGAACATGGTGGTGCAACATAACAATCGCCATAAAGGAGGACCAGCTCTTTTTGTAGCATCTGTATCTGAACGGCTCATTCTCAGGAAATGGAAACACGATTCTTATTTTCATTATGCAGTAAAGAAAACATAATTATTAAACTGTACTCCATTACTCCCAGTATATCCTCCTAAATCCTTTAGACTAGTGCTTTAAGTCATCTGACTTTTTATGACAACTCAAGCAACAGTTTTTTTTTCCTTTGTCTGGTGTCAGGTTTGCTTTCTGATTTCTTTCTCTCTTTAGAAATCTGTCTTTCATCTTGGATGATGAACTTCTGTCTCAGACCTCTCCTACAGACCTTTCATTCTCCTGCTCCAAATCAGTGAGAAAAGCCTTTGTTTTAAGATAAGAATATAACCTATCCCCGACCTGCTGTACAAACACACACACAGGCACACACGCACGCACGCACACACGCCACACCCACACATATTACATACAATAAATAACAGGAATCCATCAAGTCAATCCCGTCTGAGAGCATCAAAGGAAGAGAAGAAGATGAGCAATTTCCTTTGTAGTGGTGTGTGTGTGTGTGTGTGTGTGTGTGGGCCTAGAAATGGGCCTAGTATCACAGAGGCAGCAGACACGCAGCTAAACAAACTGTCTGGTGAGCACAGGCAGGAATTTGATTAGGAAATATATATATATATATATGTATGTATATGTATGTCTGACAAAGGGAATGAACAATCATAAGTGCCTAACAAAAAAATTGTGCTAAAGCAAGGCACTAAACTCCCAAATGTGCATGTATCACTACATCATATAATATTTACTTCTCAGGTATGAGACTGGACTGTTTGCACAGTTGATAGTGCCAGCATTGATTTATGCAGCAGTGCCAACACTGAGGAGGATATTTGACATTAGGAGGTAGTAAAGCAGTAAATAATGTGTGGACCCAGGGTTTGGGTCTTCAGCATCTGTGTGATTTATGCAGACTGCAGTCAGCAGGAAAAGGGAGAGCAGGGCCTTTGACTTTGGGGATCCTCCCTTATCTGACAGAGGGAGAACAGATCATAGACAGCTGGAGATGAGTGAGAGCTCATGGGAGAGGATGAGACTGATGTCAGAGAGGAGGGGACAGTGGCCAGGTCACTGGTCTCATTTTTTTTTTTTTCTAAGTTAAGATTTAAAGGTGAGGAGAGGGTGACCCTGCTGTATGTGTGGGAATGCTCTGTTGTTCATTTATTTCCTGTTTCAAATGGTGCATTTGTTTAGTGACTAAATCTATAATCTGTGCTTTTGTTCTGAGGTCAGTCTGCTCAAATTGTCAGTTTAAAGGGACACTTCACCCCAAAATCAAAAGTATGTATTTTCCCTCTTACCTGTAGTGCTATTTATCAGTCTATATCGTTTTGGTGTCAGTTGCCGAGTGTTGGAGATATCGACCAAATCAGTGCTGGCCCGTGGCACAAGCATAATAGGTGGTATAATAGGCAAGGCAAGGCAAGTTTATTTGTATAGCACAATTCAACACAAGGTAATTCAAAGTGCTTTACAGAGACATTAAAAGCAACAAGACACAATTTAAAACAATAAAAACAGTCGATTAAAAAGGGAAATAGAAATTGAGAATGATAGTGATAATAATAAAATACAGTTACATAAAATAAAAACAGGCTCAATACATTGAACAGTCAGGATAAGAAAAGAAGTAGAATAATAAAAGGCATAATGATGCTAAGGGCAACGTCATCCATAGGGGGCACCACAAATGGGGAAGAAAAAGCAATCAAACATCTATCTTTTACTGTTTTTTTTTTCACTAACACTATTACTACTATAATTTTGAAACATTACATAAGGCCACAACAACATAATTTTAATTTAATTTAATATACTTTATTAATCCCAGAGGGGAAATTCAATTTTTCACTCTGTTGTCAATTACACACAGGTCCAAATACACACATGCATAAACTGGCCCTATACGTGCACTAAGTGGAGAGATGTCAGAGTGGGCTGCCCATGACAGGCGCTCCGAGTGGTTGGGGGGTTTGGTGCCGTGCTCAGGGGCACCTCAGCAGTGCCCAGGAGGTGAACTGGCACCTCTCCAGCTACCAGTCCACACTCCATATTTTGGTCCGGACGGGGACTTGAGCAGGCGACCCCCGGTTCCCAACCCAAGTCCCTATGGACTGAGCTATTGCTGCCCCAAACATAACTATAAAGCTGTTATGATTGTTTGTATTGTTAAGCTCTTCGGTGCCCACTCAACTACCCCTATACCACTGAGAGGAGTGGCTGTGGATATAAAGAACATGAAAAAAACAACCCAATAAATCTGTGTTTAAATCAGCAGGAGAGCTAGTTATCGTTACCTCTGAGCAGCTAGTGGCCGCAACGAACAGCTCACGGATGTTGCACTGACTTACATTGTGAAGCCTTCAAGCTCTATTCAGTAAAAATGAGTATTGTGCAGAATTAAACATTAAATCATAAACATTCTCATGATATGTTCAAGGTAATCTTGTAAAATGTAGCTTTTGGTGAGAAACTTGTACAAAATACTACTACTACTGCATTAAAGACATGAACAAGTAATCAAAATATATCAAAACAATTTGAAAACATGCACCAATATAACAAAAAAGTCACACTTTTATTGATTATGATGCAAAATACTGTAAACAATGCTGCAATACTACAAAAAACATCCTACCAAAAAAAATAATAAATAAAAGTAAAACATTTTTCTTTGGTGACTAGGCTGCATTTTCACCATAGCCAGCAGCATGCCTTGTTCATGACCAGGTGATCACAATACAGTGTACACTCTTTAAAATTAATTTGTGTTAAGTGTTAAAGTACTGCTTTTGATTTTGTTCAAATTTGGATCAGACTATGACTGGGAATTGAAAGCACCATACAGACTGATGATACTGTATCACTGATACATCATGATGAAGGCCTTTCTTAAGCAACACTGATGAGTTTTTTTTATAACAGTAAACACTAAAACGCTCTCATTCATAAAGAAGATAGTAAAGACAGGGTAAGGTAAAGACAGTAAAGGCATTTTTAGATCTGTGCCAGTAAGAATCTACACAGTATTAATATAAGGTCTTAATCCTGAACATTAAAACATTGTTGGGATGATGGATGTATAATTTTAAAATTCTGCCACAAAGATTACAACTTTCCCTGAGAATTCCTGAGGACTTTATGCAGTGCAGCTCACAGCTGTGTCGGATGATTATAGATTATATCTTATGTTAGACTGCCCTCTTCTGGAGTAACGATCAACTACAACCGTACAGAGGCTTGAATCAACAGAGTAATGTGGACGCTGGTGGAATTATCTCCAGTGCTGAGCCACCTGAAGTATGAAACTAGTTTACTATTTTACTGGTTAAAGTCACTTCTTCACAATCTTGGCCAGTTCCTTTCTGCCACGACATTAAATTTCCAATACATAACACATAACAGATGTTATTACTCTGTCACTTCTATTGTGACATGAATGGTGACACGTTCATCACATTTCATGAGTGAGTTAAACTTAAAAAATGGAGGATAAAGTCAATATCAATAATCAGTTTGAAGCTGTAGAGAGTCAGTCTTCATTCCACATGATGTCCCTCGCTGCCACGTCATTGGGCGCAAATGGAACCATCAGGACTATGGAGCTACATTAGGGTCAGATGTTTTGTACTTGAAAAAATAAAATTTGAAAATGAAAATTCATGTGTTGATCTTGAATTTTGAAAAATACAACAATGTATTCAAAATAAAAATAAGTGTATGAAACATTTTTTCAGGTTAAATATAATTTTGATTCACTTTGGTAATTCTTTTGAATGAATAATTTATTTTCACTTTTCACTTCCATATATATTTTAACATTTGAGGTCTTATTTTTTTTCAGTTGCATGTTTTATCTTTTCAGATTCAGATCTTATTTTTTTACAGTTTCAAATCTTATTTTTTCACTTTCAAATCTTTTTTTTTCAGTTTCAAATCTGCTTTTTGAGTTTCAGACTTTTGACCCTGATGTGGCGTTGGGGGCGTGGCATCAACTGAGGGGGGTGTGGAATCATGAGTGACAGTGCCTTCAGGGAACGTAGGAACTAAAAATATTCTGACTCAACACTTATATACACCATATTCATGTGACTGGCAGTGTAAAATTTGATGCCAGTGACAAACTTCCATTTAGAAATATGTTTTAGACAGTACTGAGCACCAATTGCGGTATAAGAGCGATAAATTATGCCAGATTTTGCAGTTCAACAGCCACATTTTAAGTGCTTATATGTCCGATTTCCACATAGTACTGTGAACGCAGCGTAGTGTCCGCTTCACTTGTGATGATGGCGTCCGGTCGGTCGGGTCAATCTGCTGGAGCCCATACATCCAGCACACAGGTGAGAAATGTTAACTAAGCTTTGGGAAATCATAACAAACATTAAGGGTTTTTTTTGTGACAAAATACATTTTCACAGCTCCATCATCACGGCCCTGTTGATGCTTCCACATCCAGACGTGTCCCCTGGATGAAACCTTTGAGCTTGGGGAAAAGGAAACAATCCTAAAACACCTCCCTACTCACCTGGTGCCACAAAAATCACCCGGAGCCAGGTCAGGTGAGTAGGGAGGTGTTTTAGGATTGTTTCCTTTTCCCCAAGCTCAAAGGTTTCATCCAGGGGACACGTTTACTGGATGAGGAAGCAACAGGGCCGTGACGATGGAGCTGTGGACAATCACACTTTCCAGCTCTGACAAATTCACCACTTAAAAGACATCACAAAAAAAGTATGTTGTCACATAAATGACCCCTTAATGTTTGTTATGATTTCCCAAAACTTACTTAACATTTCTCACCTGTGTGCTGGATATATGGGCTCCAGCAGATTGACCCGACCGACCTGACGACATCATCACAAGCAAAACGGACACTACGCTGCGTTCACAGTGCAATGTGGAAATCGGACATATAAGCACTTAAAATGTGGCTGTTGATCTGCAAAATCTGGCATAATTTATCACTCTTATACCGCAATTGGTGCTCAGTACTGAAACTGAAAAAAAAGATTTGAAACTGAAAAAAAAAGATCTGAAAGTGAAAAAATAAGATTTGAAACTGTAAAAAATAAGATCTGAAGCTGAAAAAATAAAACATGCAACTGAAAAAAATAAGACCTCAAATGTTAAAATATATATGGAAGTGAAAAGTGAAAATAAATTATTCATTCAAAAGAATTACCAAAGTGAATCAAAATTATATTTAACCTGAAAAAACATTTCATATACTTATTTTTATTTTG